CTCCCGACTGGTCACCCGACATGTGTAGTTTTGAGTGATTAGTGATTCCGGACGAGTCAACTGCTCAGATCATTATTCCCGTAAGTATGGTGCGTATTTTTATCGCGGGAGAGGCTGTGATCTTCCCCGCTGAATGGCGAGATCCGGCGGTGATCTACGTCAACTTGCGGGGATTTCCCTCAACCAGGTATCTCACACCAGCGGGGCACCTCCCCAGCCAAGACAAGCTCTAAGCTTGCGATCGGCCTCCCGGCATGTGTGGTAGTGTAGAAATAGGAGTGTAAGAGTACGTAAGAGGTGAGGATAAGCAAGGAAGAGGAAGGAAAGATCGCGCGCAGAGTGTGGCCCGTTTGTTAAGGTACAGCTCCGGCTTTCGGCTCCTGGTGTTGATCGGGGAAACCACGGGAAATTACAGATCAGAGACGTCGGCCGCTAGAATTCTCCTCCAGACAGGGCTGAATTCGACCTAGCTGTCTTGTTAGTGTAGTAATCGTCGAGATTTGAAATCGGATTCTCCCGATCAAGGCACTCAAGTGAGATCAGTTGATGCTCTGCGCCATCTTTGCCGGTAAGGTGTGCGGTTGTGTAGTGCATGTAAAGGTTGGTGTGTGTGTGTGTGTGTGTGTGTGTGTGTGTGTGTGTGTGTGTGTGTGTGTGTGTGTGAAGGAATGAATGAGATAGGACATCGAAGAGGAAGTAAAGAAGATGCGCGGTCCGCGGCCCCTTCGTTAGGGCACTGCTTCAGGATGTTGCGCCGGGTGTTGATCGGAGAAACCACAGAAAACTACCAACCAGAACAGCCGGTCTCTACAATTCTTCCCCAGCTTAATTCGACCGTCTTATTTACGTAGTGTGAACATCTCTACCACCGTCCGTACTCCAACCCTAGTACCTGAGACGCAATGCAGTTACATCAGTTGGTGCCCTGAGCCACTTAAGCAGATAATTCCCTACGACTTTAAACTGTTGTTGGAACATAACTATTTGATTAACAATAAAATTAAATATAAACTGTATGCCTTTTGTTTAAATTTGTTTTAACGAACTCGAGAAGTAAAGACACTCTTATAGATATCCCTTAAAATAAAAATTACCTCAAGATTATATAGAAATCTGATTAGGCTTTCTACGAATCTTCCTAAGGTGAGCGTTCTAAAATTGAATTAGTTTACTTCCTAAAGAGAATAAATCAGATGAAATTGTGGTACATCTCTTGATACCACAATATTTTCGTATTGATTTTTGTTTTCCAAAATTTTGCGACATTTTCTTACATGGAAAGCCTGTCACAGGTATTTGGCACGTTTGCTAATGAATTCCATCACAACCTTAAAAGTCCAAATAGTTCGACTTTGTATACTACATATACTTTATATAGTATTTAATCGTTAACTATTCTAGTGTAATGTAGGTTCTTACTCGTCCAAAACACGAAATGTAAACACATAAAATGGCATTCCTTGGAGAGTAACAAAAATAAAGTTTTTTTTTAACAAACATACAAGTTTGAGATTATTGACAACTAATTTCCTCGATAGGTCGACGACGTGTTGATTGGAATCTGAAGAAGAAATTCTTTTAAAAACGAGTAGTTAAAGTGCAATCGCCCACATTTCCTACTGTACTGATAAAGCAAAGCCACTGGCGAAGGACAAAAAAGAGGCTTTACTCATCTTTGTCTGTGACCTTTTCACATAGAGCAAAAAACCAAGGGAGATTCCGGGGATCGCCCACCCTGGAGAGTTTGATATTTCCTGCTGGAAAAGTATTAAAATGTCCCTGCAATGGTACAGATGACTAATCCATACCTCAATACCATTTATGATTTCCACCCTTTGAAATGTCAAATGAAGGAAATACGTAAAGGAATCTTTCTCAAAGGATCTCTTAGGATTTATTCCAGCTCTGTTGCTTAAGCAACGATTGTCTTCGTTTTCCTCTTGAAGTCTTATATTCATTTCCATTTCCTGAGGTTTTCAACGGCCCCTTTCGAAAAACAAATGCCAATTTTCATACCCCCCCTCGCTCTTTCATTAGAGGCTGGTCTAAGAGATTAATTTCTCTTGCCATACTCTTCCAACAAAGCTTTTCTTCAAAAGGTTAACTTATTGAACCTCCTGGTCCTGAGAGGAAAAACGAAATGTAAAAAGAGTAGGTCGTCGCCCTAACATTCAACAATATAAAACAATTGTTTTATTCGATAATTGTTTTATTAGTTTATGGTGTTAAATCCAGTTTGTCACAAATTCTCAAAGCACAAATTTGGTGAAACTGGCCGTTTTCGCGCTGTGCGCTAGAGGCAAAAAAACGGACCATGTAGGTGGATGTACCACGCCTGTAAAAGAGGAAAACTTAAATTTTATTTTTTTAACTGAATTTTAATTTTATGAATCACCATTTGTTTTACATTCAACCCCACTATATGTATCACAAACACTATAAGTAAACACATAAAATGGCATTCCTTGGAGAGTAACAAAAAGAAACAGTTGATTTAACAAACATACAAGTTTCAGGTTATTGATTTCCTCGATACGTCGACCTGTTGATTGGAATTTCTGAAGAAGAAATTCTTTTAAAAACGACTAGTTAAAGTGCAATCACCCACCCTATTTCCTACTGAACTGATAAAGGACGTTTTAAGTGAGAACTTAAAGAGAGAGGGATGATTAGCTGAAGGAAATATAATTTAAAAGACCGTAATAAAATGTTTGCAATTTATTATGGTTCAAGATTAAAATTATCAATGGGTTTTGAGGATTGCACTCACGCAATCCTCAAAATATTAACTTACACTTTTATGAAAATATTTTTGAAGGCAGGAAATGTGAAGATAATGGAAGTGTTAACGCATTTGATGAGTCTGTGTCGGGTCGACGAAAATTCACCAAGCCCCAAGAAAGTCAAACGTAGCTGAGGCGTCAAGTTCTCAGCATAAATAAACAAAGTTGAAATATGGAACCCAACAAACGAATGGCAATAAAAAAACAGTGAATGGCGAAGAGCATGTGAGAATGGTGAAAAGGACATTACAACTATATGCTCATGTTACAATTACAACTATATGCTCTTGTAAATCATTGCAGAGGAATCGTGGATTCAAAGGAAATATTTGAACCAACAGATGAGTCGAAAAACCGAGAAGAAACTCTGCCGAAAGGATGACTTATGGTGAGCAAGAGATGACGTACAAGAAATACTAATCCATGACGAGTCCTCCAGTAAAACGAATCACTCCGTGTCCCCATTCGGAGAAGTGCTACAACAGGCTGCCGTTTTGTTCACGCTAACTGACGGAAGAGAGGTGATCCAACTGCAACAACGTTTTGGCTTCACACGTGTACTATGTTCTATAAAAGTTGATTACTTTTGAACTAGTTTCATTTGAGAACTCGTCTAGAACCTTTCTTGATATTCTGTCAGAAATATCTTGAACGAAACAATAATCATTCTAATAAGACTTTACTATTACAAATGTGTAAAATGCTGCACACATCTACACCAATCAGTGTTTCTTTGGTTGTCATGAGTTTTCTGATTTATGTAATGACTAGGTAAACATATGAAGCTTTTTTTGGGGAAGAGAAAATTTTGAAAATGGGAGTCATGTGAAGTACCCTCAAAAAGTAAGATCCGTTTCAAATTCGAAATCCCACATCACCCAAGTCGATACATGAATATTTATTTTGGTAAACATGTGTAGAATCCTGTGTAGAATTTAGACACAACGAATGTTTATAGACAGGCGGCAGAAAGATGTGAACTATTTTTCCAATTTTACGGACCCCAAAAACGAGTATTTCCGTCAACATTTCTGCAGAGTTTCGTTGGAATTAAATAACTTTTTCTAAACTTCGTAAATACGACTTTTGCGAGGAAGTAAAAAGTTATCCAAAGTCATTTTATGAACGGCTCAAACACGTGAATTACAACGTACTTTAGCCCCCAGCAGGTAGTACGGTATGAGGATCAAATTTTAAGGTTCATTAGTTCCCCAAAGAGCTCTTTTCAATTGAGCTCGTAATAATCTCTCGAGGGATCCTGAAGGGTTCACAATCTGAATCAAATGTTACGCGCTAAGCACTTTGTATGTAAGAATGTCATTTTCATTCATGGTTCTGTTACATGGTAGAAATAGTTTTAATTAATTACATCGTTGCATCACGCGTTACATTATCAGGTGCCATCCTTCTAATGAAAACCCTCTAGCGACATTATGTGATATTTTTATTCTAAGAGCGGAAGTAGTAAAAGGTACGAAACACGATGCTGAAGATGTTAAATGTTTGAACCTAGACTATATTAAGCATTTGGTAAGGGTGTCAAATGAAGTTTGAAATCTAATTGCTTTGGAAATGCATATCTCGGTGAGTGTTCAATATAAGGTTTACCGTACAATGACATTTTGCGCAAATTTAAAAAAAATACAGACAATATGAGAACAAGGAACTTGTTTAATTTAGTGAAACACAAGAAATTTTGCATATGATTGACATCAGTCCAGTACACAAATAGGGGATACAATTCAAAATATAAACACACACTAATACACTAATTAAGTAGCTGTAAATATAACGTATTGGTGCACTCCGTACTTTACGCCTTACCAAGAATTATCTTATTCCTGAATCAATTTTAAGTGTCTTATGTAATAAATAAAATCACTTGTAAAAAGGACTTTTTAATGAGGTTGCTGGTGTAGTGGAAATATTACTTTACCGAAACATTTTATTTCTTTATTCTCTCTGAAAAACAAGGCGAATCTGAACAAACGCTGCAACGGGTGAAAAATATTATTTTGAATATAGCAATGAGCGGATACACAAGAAAGCTGAGCAATAAATATGTAAAGGTCATGCGAATTAACATGTTAAAAAAACGCGCGTTATTTTCAACATGCTTCTCTACGGGTGGTGTTAATGCCCCGTTCAATTTGCAGACGCGGATCGACAAAAATAGTTGATCACATTAAATGAATGAGCGCTAAAGAAAGAACTCACCTGTAGTTTGGTCTTCTTTCAACCCCGACTGTTCTCGCCCGCGTTGGGCGCTTTTTCGTCTTGCAAACGGATCACAACCGCGGTCGTAACTTTTGCAAAAATTACTCAACGTCGTTCGACACAAGCACGACGACCGACGTCACCTCAGCTGCATCCCACAGCGACTCGCACTCACGCACTCTCGCACGACCACTCGGCCCACACTCACAGAGGCACTTCCCTCCGATCCGGTCTGCACCACGCCTAGCACAAGCACGCAAGACGGCACGAAGCCCGCTCCCCCACAAAACACACACTCACTCACACACACACGACGGTCTCTGGTCTCAACACTGGACAAACTTCACCACCACACCGTACCACACCACTCCACTGTGATGTTGGCCTCTGCTCAGCGCAGGCTGGCGTGGCACGTGGAGGGGGAGGCACTAGGCACGAAGAATGTCGACGCTGAAGCCATCTAGCGGCGAAATGGCCAAGAACAAGGCTGGAGAGGGGATGACTTTTCGTTACGTATCGCGTTGCGTGTAACCCATCAGACCTTTTTGTTGGATGCGAGGTTTATATAAAATGTTTCAAAATAACTCGGTCAATTGGGCCGGCGATCTTCAAGAGTAATGTTTGTAAACAGTAAAGAAGCCTGTATATTAATTTATTGCAGATTAAGAAATGAGAAATTGACGCCCTTGCAGCCCCTATCTGCAGTAAGTATAGGTAGGGGTTAATAATAATTTTAGCTCCGAAGTATCACATTTAGTTTCAATTCATGAACAAAAATCTGGAAGGTTTGCATTATTTTCTAACTCAATGTCTTGAATTAGAAGTGTCTGAACACAAATGCATATTATGCAGAATTATGTAAGCGGAAGTTCAAGTGTGAAAAATCTCGATAACAGAGCTAATTAAGTTTCGTAACGAATTGAGTTGCGTGGGGTGACTCAGCACCCCGCTGTAAAAATGAGAAAATAGTACATAATACCCTCTTTTTTTCCTTTAACAACAATAATAATAAAAACAATAGTTTAAAAAAAAATTAATTTATACGTAGTTTGGAAACAAAAACAAGTAATTTATAATTTTCTAAGATTTTTTTTTCAAACATGTTTTACAAATGCTTTCCGTGTTTTTAATGCATACTCTTCACACACAGAACATAAGGTTGCAGTTTCTCTGTCTTCATTTCTAGGACAGACTGTGCATCTCATTTTAATCACACTTAATTGGCTGAATTTTAGGTGATGAGCATGCATCGCCGATGTATTCTGTAGCCATTTCCCTAAGGCATGTTGATATTGTTAGCCGGTGTGTTTTCAATTGCTGCATGCATCAGTGCTTTGCTCAATTGTTTAATGAAGGCTCGTTTTGTTAGATTCTGGTCTGTACTGTTAAATAAAATAATCCAAATACATGAAGGCAAGGTATCAATTAAATGATAAAATATTCTAAGTAGCCATGATTTGCAATGACTTGCAATGCAACACTATACGTTTCTACCATTTCATCCACTTTCTCCACACCTCCGTTGGAAGTTTTTTCTAGCCAGAATCACCCTCATGTTGTCACCATAATGCATTGAAAAGTAATCTCATGTTGTTTTTTGTTTTTGTTTTTTTAATTTGTATTTTATGTCGCTTTATAACTACACTAGTCTTCAGCAACCAATTTAATGTTTGTTCTTTTCGGGAATCTAACTCACAAGAGTCTTGTTCTTTTGAAAAGCAAATAAATTTAGAGATTTTTTTAAGAAAAAAATCGTTTAAGCTCTAGTGCAAATGCAAAATTTTAAGCTCTGTTTCACAGGAATCGTCTGAGTTTTCGAAATACTTCATTTGAAGTCATTTGAAGCACATCCGCTCACAAATACAATACTTTATACAAATAGCTGGGGTGCAAATTAACGGCGTGAGAGATATTTCAAAACTAGTTGTGCTACAAAATGGCACTGACACTCTCGTACTAGTTAGTTTTCTAATTTCTTTGCTCTGGGCTAGCTTTTCGGTCTTGCCACTTACTCTTGCTAGCTGCTATCGATCGTCGGCCAAAGTACAGCTATTAATATTATTTCTGAATTTTTCAGATAATTATAGAATCAAAATATTACTTTATAAATATTATAAAAGAGTAAAACCTCTTCATACATGGACTTTTTCGTTGAAAAATTTGATGCCGTTTTTAAGAAAATGGCTTTTCAGCGATACTGTAAATGCGATATTTGAAGCTTTTTTTCACAGAAAACTTTTGTGGTTTCGAAAAACTTGATTGTAAGTCATTTGAAGCACATGCACTCAGAAATGCGATAATATATGCAAATCGCTGGAGATGTGCATATTAACAGCGTGAGATATATTAAAACAATACATTTGTGTATTGTTTAAAAAAATACAAAAATACAGGAAAATGAATATTATGTCATCTTAACAGTCCAATTAGCACTATCCGTACGAAAAGTTTGAAGACAAAATTTGGAGCTATTTTTCTGAAAATGGCGTTTGAGCTATTCTGAAAACGCGGAATTTTGAGCTCGTTTTAGCAGAACATTTTTGAGTTTTCCAGAAACTTTATAAAACATTATTTATAGCACGTGTACTCAAAAATGCAATAATTCAACATCCCGCTGTTAATGTAAATATTAACGAAGTGAAATGCTAGTCCTAAAATTACCTTTTTGTAATTTTTAAAAAACAAAAGAATAGAGCAAAATTGCCATTATTTCATCTCATTGAGTACGTTTAGCCAACACCAGCTAGGCACATGTAGGTGGCGTTGGTTTAGCACTATGCCTATCATACATTTAAAGAAACAAAATTGAGCCGTTTTTTTTAGAAAATCTTGTTTTGTTTATTTTTTTAAAATTGCACATATTGTATGCAATATTGCGAGACAAAAATATTAAAAGCTTTTTAAAAATGTACCTCACCTTAATGAAAGAACTAATTATGGACAACAAATTTCATTCGAAGAAAAAATTTCTATCTTCAATTTTGTGGTTGTAGGAAGACCCAAAAAATTCAAACTTTTGCAATTTTCGAAAATTTAGTAAACAGTGAAAATCGGACCAATGCCACCTTTGTATGTGTATTTTACTCTATTCTCACAAGAAAAGCAAAGAAAAAATGTGGAGTCATTTTTGAGAAAATTTTGAAAATGTCTCAGGGGCTTCATGTAAAGATCCCAACAAAATTAGTTGTGCAGAGCCTTCTGTGTGGCGCGATCAACAAGGGCTTATTTAGTATATAAAAGAATGGTGCTAATACAACACGTACTTTCTCCCTCATATTTCACGCACTTATTGCTCAAATAGAACTCTAATTTCCGAAAAATGGTACATGGCCTTATTTCAAAATCTATCTTTAACAAATAGATTTCATTAAAGAAAAATCTCTATCTTAAAAATTTTAGTTGTAGGAAGACTGCGAAAATATTTTGAACTTTTGAAACTTTCGAAAAAACGAACACGAGACATGTACACTCCACATGTAAACTCTCTTACACTCCACACTATCCAGCAACAAAATTTAATCAAAATCGATAGAGCCATTTTTTTGAAATTTGAAAAATATCCCAGGGTGCCAAAGTCCCAGGGTGGTAGAGTCCCTCACTAAAAATTAAAATATTGTAACGTATTAGCCAGCGTGCCTCATGGCATCTATTTGGGGACGCTTGGGAGGGATTGCCTAAGCCACAAGAGAGGGATTTTTCCGATTAAGGGAAAGAACGCGGAATACCGAGGCACAAGGCTTGGGAAAGTTTCCGGGCTTATAGAAGCTTTTCACTGTGTATAACAAGGCGAGGGGGTGGCGGTGACGTAGTAGGTCACGTGGGGCCTCGCCTATTAACAGAGTTTGCTACAGAGCCAGTAGGTAGGTTGTACTTACTTCGGTAGTACATATACTAAAATTGGAACGATACAGAGAAGATTGCATGGCCCCTGCGCAAGGATGACACGCAAAATCGCTTGAAGGCGTTCCACATTTTTTAGCTCTTAACTTTTCAAACCGCACTTAGAAAATGCTGCGACCAAAAAAGCGCGGCCAGAACCCGAGGCAGATTGCGAAGACTTGTTCACAGGCGGAGCAAACTGTCAACGGCAAACTGCCCTCACGCTTTATAAAGTAATAATTAGGCCGCAATGGACTACGATGCCCGAGTTGGGCAATTGCAGTCAAATTATCACTTAAAAAAACTGCAAGTAGTTCAAACGGTGTCTCAGGGCCGCCCTCTGCGCCCCTAGAGAAAATCGTTATAGAAAACTCTACATCGGAAGCATCAGTGCCACTGCCCTAAAAAAACCACTTAAAACTTTAGCTAAAAACTTTTTTGAGGAAAGCAGCTGACTCGGAAAAGAACTCATTTCCGCCAGATTCGCCTCATACGAGCCCGATATAAGGGGCGAAGTATAGGCGACCGAAACACTTTCTGGAGTAAGAGCAATTTCTGAAACAGAGAGAAGTGGGATTGGGACATTAAACATAGTATTACAAAACACGCAATGCGCGCGCCGGCTAGGCTAATGGGTCTTTCTGACGCGTTTTTTTTCTCTTATGTACAGATAGGCCATAGATGCCCGTAAGGTAGGAAATGGTCCCCGCGGCTGGCGTGAACGCGCATCTGCACTTTAAAGTGCGTTCACAAACTGCACAGATTTGCTCCTCGGAGTAGTAGGTTCTGGAGACAGTGGAGAACCTCGTGCGTTGCCACAAAAACTTGGCGCCACGACGGTGCATATGCGAGCCAGGCTCGCGATTGCTGGAGTTCATTAGTTGCGAAGCCTGCGGACCTTTATGGCCTTGGGTACTGCGGTCACAGGACTGGGAGCCATGCTGTGTGCGTTGCTCCGAGGTGAAGAGTGCGTTGAGTGCCCACCGATTCACGCGATTCTCGGCACGGCATAAGAGTCGCTCCTGCGATTCGAGCAAACCAGCGACGTTGGTGCCGCCAGAACGACTTTTGTTTGCTCCCCCAGCGTGCATCCGTCAACGGAAGCTAGGCTTTGTATGGCGCGCTTCAAAAGTAGGAGTGGCGAATTGCCACATTCAAAAACCATCTCATCGGGTTTGGATCGCTCCCGCGATCAGGGGGATAGTAGGTCTATACAAGAAGCTAGGGTGTAAGTAGATTATTAAGTGTAACATATTTTTTTGTTTTCTTGTCTAATAAATATATTTGTTATATGAAAGCTCTGTGTCTGTGGTCGCTGTGAGTATCCATGACGTCACAATATCGATTTCAAATTCAAGGGGCCGGCTGTACGGTTTAGCCGCTAGCGTTGTTCACAGACAGACGGACGAAAAGATAGACGTTTTACAGTCATTCGATTTTTCAGTATCAAGGACCCACAAAACATTGATTCTGGCTACACAACGTGAGAGA